TGTTTTTACAACGGAGATGGTGCAGCCAGGCAGCGGCAGTGAGGAAGGGGCTGGGGCCCCAGCAGACCTTCCCAAGCCACTTCTAGCCAATTTGGGGTGGACGGCAGAGATGAAGCGGAAGGAGAGTTTTCTTGTGGCCCCCCAAAAAGGTGCATTTAGCATGTTCAAAAGCAAGTTTCACCCCTGAGCACACCAGGGGACCCCGAGTGCCTCAAATTTGAGCTAGAGAAGTCAAATACAATTACAAGTGGATGAGCCTAGGGGACACGCCTGTAGTAATTAATACTGTACTGTAAGAGGTATCGGATGCACTGTAGTTTTTAACAACACAGAGGGAATATATTTGACCACCCAAATTTGTCGATGTGTTAAACCACAGGATATTTCAAATTTCCTCTTTGAGGAATTGTTGACTTGAACCAATTTTAATTTAAAGCAAAGACAAACTACATTAGCATGTAGGGTTTAGGTTAAGCCATGTTTACCCTTTGTTATTCTGCATTTCACATAAAATGCAGTGCTTTTCACAGACAAAATGGAAGTATTTCCAACCTGTAGTAGCCAAAGTAATGACTTTTTTTAAAATCATTTTTTAGAAGAGCGAGAGAAGCACCGAACCTCTGATTCTAAATAAAGAACTTCCAAGTCATTTCAGGTATAAAACATTGTATACACGTATAACTCTAATCCCATTTTTTCTTTTTTTTTTTTGTTCTTCAAATAAATAGCTGGTTATAAATCAATCAGTGAACTCTTCCTTGTGTTGTAAGTACAGAAACACTCAAGCAGGTATTTCTGAGTACAAGCTGTACAATGCTAAATTAAAATTCTACTGACAGATTCACTTGAAGTAAAATATTTCCTACAGAGTACGTATAGATAAAACTTGTCTGCTCTCTTGACCTACCCACTGAGGTACACAATTTACAAGGTCGGAACATAATTTCTCAAAGAAGTGTACTTGAAACAGATACTAACTTAAACTCCAGATTTTATCATGAGCACAGAGACAGTGTACACAGCACAATGAAATTTAAGGTAGAGGACTTCACATTCTTTACACACGGAAGACAAGAACATTACAATCTTGTAGAAATGCTTATATATGAAGCATACATATATTGCACAAGTTTTGATTCAGTCTTCAGCACAGCAAGAGGAAGGCGAGTACCCTTTTAGCAGAACCTCTTCAAATTACTTCCAGACCTAGTTCTCTCCCTTCTGTACTTCCCACAACTTAATTTGACCTATAAGTTGACCAAAATAGCATATTCTTTCATGCTCTTCCTACAAGCATTATACTGTGTAAAATCAATGAAGGAAAGATTTATATCAATACACACAAGGATTAGAGAAAACAAGACAAACATAACAAAAACAAACACTACAAAATACACGTGAGATAACCCAGAGCAAGCAGAGTCCATTAAATCAAGAGTGACATTCTCTGATGGACTTAAATTTAACACCAAATATACTGTGAATTGTGTCCACTGACCCAAGATCGAGTAAAGCATTGGTTTCAAATAAGCATTTGGGACAGTATTGACAAACACTAACTTCAAGTTATCTACAAATTGTCTTACAACCTTTTATCATGGCTGCCCGTTTCTCCCAAATAACCACGTCACCCTTCAATTTGAGTCTTAAAATTGGTTTATATTGAGTTTTTTGTAAGGGATTTCTTAAAAATAACCTCTCATACTGTCAGAACACCCTAAGGTACAGAGAGTACACTTACACAATCACATTTTAGGAGAAGTGAGAGCAAGAGAGCTAGAAGAGAAACTTCAAGTTTCACAGTATACAGCCTATGCCAATTCTGGCACTGCTGTTACTGAATCGGAAGCTCTTGCTAACGTTTGGTGGTCCTATACACCTCTGAGCCTGTTAATTAAAAGCACTGTAGAAGACTAAAGAGAGTTCCTAAAATCCTAGACGAGATACTAGTAGTTTCTGACATTATATAAGGTGAGAAATGACAGGCAAACCCAATGCCAAAATGAGTAGTCAAAACTAGTCCTAAAATAACAAACAGAGCTGAACTAAAGCATTTTTATTTCAAGGCACTAAGAAGCCTCAGAGAAACTAACATCTTGCACACACGCTGAAACCTTGGTCGACCATGAAAAACACCTTTTACCTAAGGTCTCTCAGGAAAATTTCCTGCTAGGGTATACGCCAAGGAATAGGTGTGTGAAGGTTTTTATTTTGAAGCTGAGGGGAAGGGAGAACTTCATGCTAACACTAAGATTTATGATAGCCATTAGTGGATTTCTCGCTCTGGGATATCTGCCCAGAGTAGATGAAAATCCAGGTCATTAAATCTCTGAAGAACTTCAGACTATGCAGAACTGAATCCAAAGTTAGTTAAAGTTCAGCTCCTACTCACTCGCCCCAGACTACTTATTTCATGGTATTTTATCTTAAGTTTTCTGATGAAAGTTGCAGCCCACCATTTAACAAATATCATGTTCACTCACCGTTGTTCCAGTTGTCTGGCACTTCCACGGAAAGTGATGCTGCTCTTGTTTGCCTTGACAGGAGAATAATATAACCTGGTGTATTATATTATATACACCTGGTGAAATTTGTTTTCTAAACCTCTCAGATTAATATTTTTTAATATGTGAGAGCACTGCCACTTTCCATGCATTTGTCAGACTACCCACTAGCTTCTTTTGCTATAAGCTAAACCAAATTACACCACCTTGCACCTTGCTTAGCTAACGCAATAAATAAATGGGGAGTTTTCCATTGTTAGAGAGGATGCAACAAACAGGCTTTTCCCCAAACAGTTGGGGAAAACTACCATCTAGACTTAAAATATTTCTGACTATAAATGTAGCTTATCAGAAGTACATAAACGTGAGAAAAAAAACTGCAAAAGGATTCTTTTGAAAGACACAGGCCATTGTGGTTACAGATCTTGGCTTGCATTAAAAAGATCACTGAGTTGGTGGGTCAATTTTTACAGAGCTGCACGGAGGTACCACAATTTTTTTAACTGTCTATTTTAAAACAGTTAGGAAGAAGTGGTTTCAAACATAAAGCAGTAATTTAAGTTGTGAGATATGTTGACACCTTAGGTGATGCAATGCAAACTTTTAAGAGAGAGATGTGCATAAAGTTTTGTGCCTCATATCCAGCTCACTTGAAATACATTTTTGCCGACTTTAAACATGTATGTCCCTTCTCAGTTACCCTACGTTGGGAAAGTTTTACATTTTCTAGACAAAGAGATAGACAGCACCTTTTTAAAAAAAGAGCAGCCCTCCCCTCTCGCCAAAATCCATCTAGGGCTTGTAGAGCATGTTTGAATCCAGACATCATCCTGTACTAAAAACTTGTGCTTCCATTTTACATAAAGCAGGTCAAAGTGGATTTTTCACTGAGACCAAGTCTACCATCTTATAAAGAGGAAGGGCAGCGAGGGGGAACATACACACGGAGAGAGAACATTTTAGTGGATTGCTAGAGTCGGATTAAAACTGAAAGACTGTTTAAATTGCAGAAGGAAGCTGTTTTAAGAAGCAAGCCAAAATCTTACATAGACTAGATCATGATGAAGTGTGTAGTAACTTCACTTCAAAAGTAACCTTTCAGCAGGCAAACAGTTACAGTTTCTACAACTTCTAAACTGTAGAACTTGAAATAAATTAGAACTTAAAAGTTTGCACAAGAAGAGATAATGCTTGCTATTTTACACAGTTATAAGGGTTTTCACAATCTCGTTAGAGATAGCAATAGATGAAACTTTTACCTGTACACAGACGCAGCGCAGAATAGCCATATAGAAGTTTACAATTTGCAACAGGGGCCTCGCCTTTACAGGGCATTTCCTTTTCTACTTAATTATAGGAAATATTTTAAATATGCAGTACAAAATAACATAAACAGGAAAAATAAGCTGTATCTTCCGTATATAAATTTTATTCCACTGGACACCATACAAAATACTAAACTTAAAAAAATGAAAATATGAATTTGACATCAATGGTAAGTACAGTTCGAACAATGAATTGGTCTTCAATAACAAATATATGAGAGGCACAAATTGTGCTACAGCAGGTCTAAAAGAGGCTTCACAACTTCTTTTTGGAAAAGCTAAAATTTTCAAGATTACTTATTTAAATTCAATTTACAGTAGCTGACCAATTTACAAATATTTACACAAAATCAAAACAGAAGTCCAGCTTATTGTATCAGTGGTAGTGTTGTGGGGTGTTTTGGGGTTTTTTGTTTGTTGGTTTTGTTGGTTTTATTTTCCCCAAAGCAGACATCACTACTACTTCAAATACATAAAAGGAAGCACTAAAAAGTACCTTACCTACTCTGTGTGAATATGAAGCATTTATGTATATTGATTTGTCCTTTTTTATTTCAACTTCTTTGTAGTAGAACTGTTGCTTGAAAATTCCAGTTTACAGTTCTTGATATCCAGAATACTACCAACTATAATCTAGCTTAATTTTCATAAATTGTTGCTTGTTGTTCCATGTAAAAGGGAAATAAAACTGGAAAGTGCCAAGTTGAGCAAAAGTGCTTACTGCAATTAAGCAGATGTAAAGCACAGGCTGCCTGTTCATCAGGAAGTGGGTACTGTATGCAATGCCTTAAGGACATAGTCAGACTTGCACATTGTTTATCTCTGAATGTCTTTATTTCATGGTTAAATGTGTCCAAATTAATGATTACACAGATTATGGAAACAACAAGTCAGTATATGCCCATACTTTCCTTAAAATGGATTTATTCTTGTGGTTTGCTGTTTGATTTTCTTCTAGAAGTCAACAACGCAAGCATTTTCAGAAAACGTATCTTTGAATGAACAGCTGTATTAACAAATGTCGATAATAAAATACGCAATCTTTCTTATAAACATTTCCATAACAAAAGTTTACAGAGAAAAACATGTCATAAAAAACCACGGGGTAACTGCCTCTTGATTTTGATACTGTTCTTTATTTCA